CCATGCGCCGCGGCCCCGGGCGTCCCCAAGTCAGCCGCTGCTGAAACTGACCAGTGGCTGACTACAGGAAGCCCCTGCCCCCGGCTTCCTGGAATCAGCCGCTGATCAGTTTCAGTAGCAGCTGACTTGGGGATGCCTGGGGTTCTTAAGTTGAATCTGTATGCAAGTCGGAACTGGCATCCAGATTCAGCCGCTGTTGAAACTGATCAGTTTCAGCAGTGGCTGAATCTGGACGCCAGTTCCGACTTACATACAGATTCAACTTAAGAACAAACCTACAGTCCCTATCTTGTACGTATCCTGGGGACTGCCTGTAACTCATTAAATAGCTGCACAGTTATGCAGCTTACAGGGAACTTAGCTGGGAAGTGTTCCTGGATCCAGATTCAGCCGCTGTTGAAACTGATCAGTTTCAGCAGTGGCTGAATCTGGACGCCAGTTCCGACTTACATACAGATTCAACTTAAGAACAAACCTACAGTCCCTATCTTGTACGTATCCTGGGGACTGCCTGTAACTCATTAAATAGCTGCACAGTTATGCAGCTTACAGGGAACTTAGCTGGGAAGTGTTCCTGGCATATCCTAAAGTTTTAATCGGTGGTTACAAAAAATGGAAGTTATATTAGCAAGCATATAGAGTGCCTGGAGCATACACTATTACTGTGAGAATACTTGGACCTATTTCACAAACAGGATTATCTATTGAGTAACCTATGTTTTAGGAAAGTCCGATAGCAGGAGTAGGGTTCATAAAGGTTAGCTACTGGCTGCCAGACATTTAGTTTACATGAGCATCTACAGGCATGTCTGCTTGCTGCTTCCTGTGGGCCACAGTTTGCTGTTCCTAGCCAGTGGGAACTGCGGGAAGTGGTGCGGGCTGGGCCACCTTTTCTGCAAGTCCCATTGGCTAGGAATGGTGAACTGAAGCCATTAGGAGCTGTGTGGCTCTGTGCCTATGGACACTGAAGTAAACAAAATGTCTGGTGGCCTGCCAGTGACTAACTATGCCTGACAAAACAGCAGGTCCTTTTCCCCTTCACCCCGTCCTATTGGGTAGGCAGTAGTCCTGAAACAATTATACTGATATTCCATTATCTGCTGTGATCTATGAGACTGGTTTTCACATGTCGTCTATAAAGGCCCCTCAATTTGTTGCTAGTGTTTTTGACACTTTAGCAGGAGGAATAGATGGCTTTTCAGTGGCTTATGGGAGGACACTTCAGATAATTTTGTCCTTCTGTTTATTTTCCAGCCCTTCTTTCACATGAGCGATTGAGTACTCTGAAGAGATTATACTGTTGGATTACAATGTCATAACCTAACAATCCATTTAAATGTATTTGGAATTCTATTTGCATTTTTGACTTCTGCCTGTTATGTATAAGATGGACAATAATGTAACTTTTTCTCTTGATTTTTATAGAAATTATTAGAAGGTGTAGCAAGCAAAATGAAGACCCCTAGAAAAATTTATTGGGTTGAAAAAGCAAACCATGGCATGGCAGCGAAAGGACGAACAGAAGATGATATTATGATGGAAGTAAACACACAGATTTTTTCTTGGATAAAAGAAATAATTGAACAGGAGAACAAATAACTTCCAAAAGTTAAACATCTGTTTACATTACGCTTCCCTAAATATAAAGGAGAGAGCACTAGAAAAAAGCTATGCCTACATGAGCCCTACTTTATTCAGTGCAGGTTATTCTGCAAATATTAATTGTAAACATAAGTAAAAATGTTTTGAATCCAAAATATCTGTGCAATATTAACAAGGTAATAATACTTTTTATTAAATGCGAAGATCACAAAATTTTAATGATGTGGCATTACTATTCTATATCTCATTTTCAGTGGAATTTACAACATTTGTTGGTTTGTGTGACCAAGCAATATTTCCTCCCTATTTTTTGTACTGTTTTTTCAAAGATTATTGTGAAATAAATTAAATTTTCTACTAGAGCTGAAACTTTAGTCTGATTTATTCCTAGCTGGATTGCAAACACTGACTAATTTGTAAAAAGCACATTCATATTCAACCCCCGTTGCACTCAACTTTTTTGAGGAAAAAACACAATTTTTGACTGAAATTTCACTGATCGGTTTCTGCATTGCCCTGTACTTTGTGTGGATGTTTATTTTTTTGGAAAATGGCTACTCTGGTGCCAATTCAATGCCTTACTGTAAACTTACTTGTGCAAGAAAGCACATGCAGTGTAGATGCTCCGCAAGTTTTTGTGCAAGAACAATTGTTCTTGCGCAAAAAGCCTGTAGTGTAGACAGAGCCTCAGGGACTGCATTGTCTGCTGTCCCTGTAAATCAGTTTGCTGCATTATTTTAAACTACTCTCTGAATTTAGAGTAAATGCATACAATTGCCTATTTATCCCAAAACCAAATACTTTGCCTACTATATAGATGAGAGATTTTGTGTATTTGTCTGTCTGTCCATCTGATATTGTTTGTTCAAGAACTCCTCCTAAACAGTAAGAGCTAGGACCACCACATTAGGTATGCAGCTTCCTCTTAAGGGTTTAGTTTTGCTAGGAATATGTGATTGTTTCTCATATAATACAAAGGGAGGGGTCTGCTGGTAGGCAGTTATACTGCAGAATGACCACAGGGGAACAGGTCCATGGATAAGTGGCCCCCATACCCCACAGCTGGAGCTCAAACCACTTTTCCATGGGATAGCAGCAGGTGGGTTCGAATGCAGGGGAGTTATCAGGAAGGCAAAAGCACAATTGGAATTGTGACTTGCAAGGGATGTGAAGGATAACAAGAAAGGTTTCTATAGGCATCTTAGCAAGAAGAAGGTGATCAGAGAGGGTGTGGGGCCCCTACTGGATGAGGGTGGTAACCTAGTGACATGATGTGGCGAAAGCTGAAGTACTTAATGCTTTCTTTGCCTCTGTTTTCACCGTCAGGGTCAGCACCTAGACTAATGCACTAAGTGATGCAATATGGGACGACAGACAGCCCTTGGTGGGGAAAGAACAGGTTAGGAACTCTTTAAAAAAGCTAAATGTATACAGGAAGTCCCTGGGTTACGTACAAAATTGGGACTAGGTTCTTAAGTTGAATTTGTATGTAAGTCGGAACTGGTATGCTAAGTTGAATTTGGATGTAAGTCGGCCTCGGTGCGAGGAGTTGTTTAAAGCATCCCTGGCGGCGCTGCCCATCCCCCCCAGCCCCCCCTCCCCGCGGCCGGTCTCTGGGGCTGGGGCCAAGCGTGCCCCATGCGCCCCAACCGGCCGCTGCAGCGCCCGGAGGCCCAGCCCGGTGCAGGGCCGGGTGTTTAACAGCGGAGGCGGATTCCCCTTTAAATCTCCCCGCCTGTCCCCCCCCCAGGTCTCCCTCTTACCGGCTCGCTCCTCGCCCTCCCTCCTCCGCCTCCTCCCGCGAACGGGACTCCCAGCCCAGTCCCACAATGCACCTGGCGCGCCGGGCTCCCTCAGCGCAGCCTGAATGGAAATGCCGCTGCCGGGGCGCAGCTAGTGCGGGGTGCCTCCCCCACTGTCGCTGCCTCCGGCGGCGCGGGGGGCGCCCCCCCCAGCAGACCAGGGAGACGCGGAGCGGCTTTTCTCGCTGCGGAGGACGCGGGCGGCGGGACTGCGGCGCGTCTGGGCGGTCCTGCCGCCTGCGTCCTCCGGGGCGAGAAAAGCCCCGTTCGTAAGTACAGATCCGACATAAGTCGGATCTGCGTAACCCGGGGACTGCCTGTAGTCCCAACTACAGTCCAACCTATACATGAGACACTACATTTCCACATAAACACATCATAAACTCTCTGATTTTTCATTAATGAGACAGATTTTGGGAGTGGGTTTGTACATTAATGTAGGGTTTGTGACCTCTGAGCATGGAATATAAACTAAGTTTGTTCATAACACTTACTAGAATTTTGTCTATGCCAATCCCAATGTTGCTCAGATATAATTACATAAATATATACATATACAAACACATAATACAGATAACTATAGTGGTGCACAAACATGGGTTGCCCTCTGGACTTTCTGTCGAAAAATCAGGCCCCAGTTGTTAAATCTATTAGACTGACATTATTTAATTCATAATCTTGTACCTTTCTATGATTAAAGTGATTGCCATGCCTTATTTTTGAATTTCCTGGCTATGTTGGCTTCCGTTACTGTTCTGCATCTGTATGTAAATATATTGTAGGTTATATTTAACACAGGACCCGCCCCCCCCCACCCCCGTTCGTAACTAGGGATCCGATGTAAGTCAGATTGATGTAACCCGGGGACTTCCTGTATAAATCCATAGGTCTGTACTTAATACAGCCAAGGGTACTGAGGGAGTTGGCAAATGTCCTTGAGGAGCCTTTGGCCATTATCTTTGAAAAGTTGTGGAGAGCGGGAGAGATCCCAGATTGAAAAAAGGCAAACGTAGTGCCCATCTTTAAGAAAGGGAAGAAGGACGATCCAGGGAACTATAGGCCAGACAATCTTACCTCAGTCCCTCGAAAAATCATGGAGGGGATCCTCAAGGACTCCATTTTGAAGCACTTGGAAGAGGGGAAGGTGATCAGGAATAGTCAGCATGGATTCATGAAGGGCCAGTCATGCCTGACCAATCTGATTAGCTTCTATGATGAGATAACTGGCTCTGTGGATATGGGAAAGTCAGTGGATGTGATATACCTTAAGTTTAGCAAGGCTTTTGATACGGTCTCCCACAATATTCTTGCCATCAAGTTAAGGGAATGTGGATTGGATTAATGGACTGTAAGATGGATAGAAAGCTGGCTGGAAGGTCAGGCCCAGGGGGTAGTGGTTAACAGCTCGATGTCAGGATGGCGGTCGGTTTTTAGCGGAGCGCCCCAATGTTCGGTTCTGGGACCAGTTTTGTTCAACATCTTTATTAATGAGCTGGATGAGGGGATGGATTGCTCCCTCAGGAAATTTGCAGATGACACTAAGCTAGGGGGATAGGTAGACACGCTGGAGGGCAGGGATAGAGTCCAGAGTGACTTAGACAAAGTGGAGGATTGAGCCACAAGAAATCTGATGAGGTTAAACAAGGACAAGTGTAGAGTCCTACACTTGGGACGGAAGAATCCCAAACATTGTTACAGGCTGGGGACCGACTGGCTAGGTAGCAGTTCTGTAGAAAATAACCTGGGACTTACAGTAGATAAGCTGGATATGAGTCAGTGTGCCCTTGTAGCAAATAAGGCTAATGGCATATTGGGGTGCATTAAGAGGAGCAGTGCCAGTAGATCCAGAGGTGTGATTATTCCTCTTTATTTGGCTCTGGTGAGGCCACATCTGGAGTATTGTGTCCAGTTCTGGGCTCCAATTACAGGAAGGATGTGGATGCATTGGAGAGGGTCCAGCGAAGGGCAACCAAAATGATTAGGGGGCTGGAGCATATGACCTACAAGGAGAAGCTGAGGGAGTTGGGTCTATTTAGTCTGCAGAAGAGAAGAGTGAGTGGGGATTTGATAGCAGCCTTCATCTTCCTTAAGTGAGGTTCCAAAGAGGATGAAGAGAGGCTGTTCTCAGTACTGACAGAGGGCAGAACAAGGAGCAATGGTCTTAAGTTGTGGTGGGAGAGGTCCAGGTTGGATATTAGGAAAAACTATTTCACTAGGAGGGTAGTGAAGCACTGGAATGGGTTACCTAGAGAAGTGATGGAGTCTCCATCCCTAGCGGTGTTTAAGTCTCAGCTTGACAAATCCCTGGCCGGGTTGATTTAGTTGGGATTGGTCGTGCCTAGACCAGGGGGCTGGGTGGTTCTAAGCTGTTGCTAGGGGAGTGGCAGCAGGGAAATAAGCTGCTCTAAGGCGAGGGGCTGTGCTCCTTTCCATAGGGGAGACAGCCAAACCTAAGTGCCTGCTAGGGGAAGAACTGACACCCCAGGGCAACACCGTGCCCCATCAGGGAGAGGCAGTGAAAGGTCCCCCTGTGGGGTTTTGTTTGAGACAGTTTCCCTTTTTTATTTGATGAAGGACCACCTTTTAGGCTGACTTTCAGGACTACCCTGAAAATACAACCAAGGGAGCACAGAAAAGGGGAGGCAAACCCTGCCTAAGTAGGGCTGATTATCCCAGGCCCTCTGTTACCAGAGGGGAAAATGCTAATTTTGGCAAGAGAAAAGAAGTGCCTTGCCACATGATCTAGTAAGACAGCTCCTTTTCACAGCCACTTACTGTGTTGAGACTTGAAAACAACAAAACAGATTAGCCCAAATATTTCTAATTTTTGTCCATGTTTCTGCAGAAGTGTAAGACCCAGTCAGGCTTCAGTGTTGTTGGGCCAACAGCAAAATATGATCTATGGGCCCCGCCCCCACTCCACACACAGGCTATGTCTACACTGGCAGGTTCTTGCACCAGAAATATGCAAAGAGGCTACGCGTGGAATAGCGCCAAGCCTCATTTGCCTACCTAATGAGCCGCCATATTTGTGGAAGAGGCTCTTGCGCCAGAAGGAGCATCTACACTGCCCCTTCTTGCTCAAGAAAAACCCTCTTGCACAATGCCATTATTCCTGAAAATAATCAGTGTAGTGGCATTGAGCAAGAGGGTTTTTCTTGTGCAAGAAGGGGCAGTGTAGATGCTCCTTCTCACGCAAGAGTCTCTTCCGCAAAAATGGCAGCTCATTAGGTATGCAAATGAGGATCAGCCATATTCCACACAGCCTCATTTGCATATTTCTGGCACAAGAACCTGCCAGTGTAGACATAGCCTTAGTGAAGCCAGAGGCTGCAGGGCTATGCATTTCTCTGAATGCTGAAAGCCTGGAGGGAGAGGGCAGAGGATTCTCACACTACCCCCACCCCCAATAACTCCCATTGGCCAGTTTCTGGCCAATAGCAGCTGCCTGTTTGCGGGACAGGCAGCATGTGAAGCACCTGTCCCCCATCATCCTCTGAATTCATGTGGAGCCTGTAGCTGCTGAGAGCCACCACAGGGGCCTAGAAGGCAGGGACCCTGGTTAAGAACCTGTTGGGCAGGTGGCTGGGAGCCACCTAGATAAGGTCTCCCAGCCAGAACCTGCCTCTAGCAGAACCATTCCTTCCCTCTGCCACCCTCCTGCACTCCTACCCAGTAACCCAAACCTTCTGCACCTCTGCTCTAACCCCCATACACCTTCCCTTTTACACCCCTCAAGTTATAACCTCCTCCCAGACTCTGCACCCTAATCTAACTCAGGTCACAGTACAAATCCCTGCACCCCCTCCTGTACTAGGTTTACAACCTTCCCCCAGACCCTGCACCCTGCTCCAGTCCTGCACTCCATGGGTGGGCAAGATAGCCTCGGTGGGCTGGATCTGGTCCGTAAAGCTCTTTGTTCCGGCCCACAGCCACTATGCCACTCCCCGCCCCCAAAGCAATCCAGACCTGGGGCTGGGGGAAGTACATGAAGTCTCCTTCCCCCTCACCCCCACCAGGGGCACATGGCACCACAAGGAACCAGCAGCTGTTCAAAATAGCTGGCAATTCTCTCTAGGCACTGTCTGCTCCTGGTAGGGCACGGAACAAAGACTTCAGATGCTCCCCCGCCCCCAGGCCAATCAGGGTCTGTGAGTGGGGAAGTCTTCTGACTTTGCTCCTTTTAGGGCAGCCCGTGACCACTTCCAAAATTATTGCCCACCCTTGGCCAACAGGAACATAACTTATTTGTTGTTCATGTAAAAGTGATGGCTGGGTTTTTTTGAGAACAGCTGCAACTTTGAAGGGGGAACTTGAAAGAGATGTTAAGCCAGCTAATCAGCTTGACTGATAAGAGTTGTCACTCTTAAATTACATTGCTAATAACACTGTATTAGTAGTGCTGGATTTGAGAAGCCAGTACTACCAAAGCATTTGTGAATGCATTTTTACTTCATGATAATCCTTTGGAAGGCAGAAAATTTCAATCTTTGCCCACAGACAGTGTTTTCGCCGGTCAGTGTAGGATTACTCATGAGTGCTGGCATTCATTTTATTCAACAAAAAAATTGGCATTAAGAACACTGTAATCGGACCTAATTGACTTAATACAAGTCTATTCCTAGCCCTGTAGACTCCGAATTCATTAGCTATAATATGAAGATACTAATACAATCAATCTTCATTTGGGCTGAAAAACATTGTACCCTGACTTAGTATCATAATTGGGTTTGATCCTATTGTCCCTTTACATATACACTATTTCCATTGATTTCAATGTACATGAAAAGACTACAAATGCAAATTAGTGACTAGTTTAAACAATTCCATGAGATTGAGATGAAGTGACGATGAATTTATTAAAAAACATAAAAACATCTCAAAACAGCAAATTCTATTGATACTAATGATAAAAATGAACAGATATTCCCCATTCAGACTTTTGAATGCTGTTTTGTATTGTCCATTGAAACTGTTAATAAAATTGTTTTATTTTCTCAAAGGAATTCTGAAGATCGGTAAAGTTTCCTAAAAATGTCATTAATTTCTTCCTTTTAGAGTTCATCTTTGGCCTGTAATTAAAAAGGAAAAAATATTAATTACTGGAATTTTAACAGTCAAGATAGACTTATTTAATTCAACAATCCTTTCCTTTTCTAAAGAGACAGAAAGGAACAGTTCTTCTTTAGCCACTGTTTCAGTCTATAGATTGAAACAGTGCAGCTTGTCCACATTCTTTATGGGCCAGTATATCCAAGTAAGTGCAGGTTGGTTCTTCATGCTGCTGTGGCTGACATGCGCTCTCTGAAGTATGCAGGTGGTAGAGCAGACTGGGAGAGGGACTGGGAGAGAGACTGGGATCCTGAATGTTTGCTGTGTCCTCAAGCTTCCACTCCCAACAGGGTCTATGCAATACAGAGTTCCTTCTCTGTGCCAGCCACAGCTGGGTGGGCCTGTTAATGATTTGAGACATGCTTTCAAACAACTTACTATGATTGGATAACCTTAGAGCCTTTCAGTTTACTCTTACAAATACTTATTTGGAAGCACATAAGTACTGAGGCTATGATTTCCTTGAAAGTGCATTCTCACAGGCAGAAGTCTTATTTATTCTTATATTCTTATTCATACAAGAATTATAAAAACAGTGTTTTAGTGGTTAGTGATCAGCAGTTTTCAAACCTGTAAATAATTATACAAAATATCCAGAAAAATGGAAATTTTGACATTTCTGGCTTTTTTACAGACAAAATTATTGCTTTTCTGAAACAGTTCTATTTTCCTTAGTTTTGTCTCAGGCTATGTCTACGCTGCAAGTTTTTGTGGCAGAAAATATGCTATTGAGGGACTCATTAGCACAGATTGTGATGTCATTAGCATATTTTCTGCTGATTCTTTTTGCGCAAGGGCATAAGGATCTTGCGCAAAAGAGGGTTTTTTGTGGAAAACAGAAGCAGCTACACTGCTTCTTTTTGCACAAAAACCCCTTGTGCAAAATGAATAGGCAGAAAATATGCTAATGAGTTCCTCATTAGCATATTTTCTGCCACAAAAACTTGCAGTGTAGACAATGACTGTGATTTTACAGGGATTAGCTGAAAGGGAACTCTGTTTTCAGCTGTTGCAAATACACAATTTTAAAAGGACAAGAAACTTATCATGGGCTCATAAGGTTGGGTACTGGATATCTTCAGCTTCCATTCAATTAAAAAGAATTGAAGACATTCAGCATATTACAGGATCAGACCTTTGTTGTACACACCATACCTTCTTTCTGTGGCAAGTACATGGAAACAGGTCATCGTCAGGCTGTTCCACCTTCTCCATGCCATCTCTGATTTTTGGCTCACTCACTTGTAAATTGGCATATTCCTAATTAAAGAAAGAGAAAGGTATTAGTCTAACTGCCTGTAATATCTCACAACTCAGATCAATAATTATGTAGGAGCTGTGTGGCCAAAGGATCTTCCATTGCTCTCAGAAAAGCTCGCCATATCACAGAGAAGGTAAGCGGATACTTAACTGCTGTCAGAGATTCCATTTGGTGTCAAAACCTCAGTGCTAATGCACAGACATTTTCAGCTGTGGCTGGGGATAGGAGAATGAGATTATGCTCTTTGATCATTGCTAAGTGTGAAGAACATGGGGACATTTTCTTGTAAATTGAGATTTATGCGAACTGGGAATGCCTCTCTCAAACTGCCACTTTTAGGGTCACACAATGTCCACAAATTATTGTTTTCTGTTCTTACTCTTGGTTGTGTGACTCCATCACCCAGCTGACTGATTTCCAGTATCTGTATATTTTTAAATGCTTTCTGCATATTTTTTTTTGTAGTAGTCTGATGTACTGACCTGGAAAAGTTTGAAATAATAACAGAATACATGATCTCCCATGAGGTTATTTCGTGCAAATTCTTGCCCTGATTTTGCAATATTCCTTGCCTGTCAAAGAAAAGGAAAATCCTGACATAAGAACATTTTTGGAGACGATAGTAGTGATTCGGAAATTTAACACACTATGTAGTAATTAGCCTTCCATTTTTGTAGACAAGTGTCTAGGGCACTGCCATGGTGACTGCTCCTTAAAACAACAAAATAAACCCTTATTACTGATAACATATGAGGAAGACTTAAAACTGACATTTTTAATGCCAAAGGAAAAGTGTTCTTACTCTATAATTCATCTTTTATTTCTCCAATTAAATTTTAACATTAAGGACTATAGAAGAATATGCAAACTAAATACATTTTGCTTCCCCATTGATGTGATATGCATCACTCATTCTTAAGATCTGCTTGTGTTTTTGGTATATAAACAAATTAACTTGGATTTACCTACTTTTAGTTTGTCAGGAAATGTTTCCAACTGTTGTAATACAGATTTACCTCTTCGTCATGATTTTTTGCCCACTGTAGCTTTTCCAGTAGGTCACTCAGGTCACTTTTAAATGGAATATAGTGTTTCCAGGGCAGCAGCTCATTATAAAAATGTTCATAGTAAATGGAGTCTTGCTTCAGCACAACACTGTTTCCTGCTAATAGGTAAGGCAATCTGTATGCAGCCACTGTGCCATCAATATTAATTTGATATTTATACTGCAAAACATACATAATTGATTAATGAACCTTTTTAAAAATAGGTAGCAGCAATTGGTTTAGTGATCTTTTTTATTCTGAGACTATGAAATGCAGATGGCTTGCTCAATTTAAGACATGCTGATTATGCCAGACATTGTAAGTAATCTTTATTACTAAACAAATGTATATTTTTACTCATTAGATTAGTTCCACTGTTAAATATATTGTATTGGGAGGAGCTATGAGTATTAGTCAGGACAGAAGAACAAGAAACTGGAATCTAGAGAGATTAGATTGAATAGAAGGTTCCCAAAACCCGCCAAAATCAAAGTAAAATCTAATAATCATAAAAGGGTTGTCTGAAAAGTTCAAGTACTTTGTAATATAGGATGTATAATACATGTGAAGATACTAGGTGGGGGGGAGGAAAATTCTCAAATACTGGTGTGTTAAGACTGCAAGAAGTCTAAATAGCAGTTGATGTCCTACCTTGAAAAAATCAAAAAATGAAATATGCTTCACAATGGGACCATAGAGGCTTTCATCATGTTTAAAAAAGAAAAAGTTTGTGAAAGCAGCATCTATGATATCTGGGTATTTTCTACTGAGTTTTACAAGTTCAAGCCTCTCTTTGCGGCTGTCTCGTCCCCTCCAAATTGCTGTGGTATTCTTGTCTTCCCAGAGTGGCCCAGTGTTGGCCTGGACAGACATCATGTCCAGGCTGACTCTAGATGTCAGGAGGGAACAAGTGATTTCAGAAAAGAGGACTCTTGCAGTTTTCATACACTAGCCTTTTAAAATATTGTAATACGCTTCTGGACGTGGTTCTCCCACAACAGTTATAGTCCACGTTTCCAATACAATATTACAAGATCGCTGACCTACAAAGGCAGGGATACAATCATATAGAGCTTTGTAAACTTTTTATGACTGTAATAGATAAAATAAGTGCCAAAAAAAACCATCTGACTTAAGCCACCATTTATTGGTTGATATCTTACAGACATTATGGCAGAAATGGGTCTTGAGAGTTCTGAAGAGGGAAGGGGTAACAGCCACTGAGTGGATTTGAACCCAGGAGCTTAGTGTAGGAGCCTCTTTAGCTTGAGCTATAAAGCCAGCTGGCTCTCGAGCTCTCTTGTTTTTACTTCTTGCTATAAGTGATCTAAGCACCACTGCATGGGACAGTGACTACACCCATTAGGTGCATGGGTTCCATACTTCCCATAACTGGTCCAGAGCTTCAGAGAGCCCAGACAAGCCCTGATTGTAACCACCACCAGACAGATTTGAACCAAGGACCTCTGGAGCTTAGTGGTCACACTAAGCCTCTGCAGCTGGAGCCATAAAGCCAGCTACCTTTCAGCTTAGGCTGTAGAGCTCACTAATTTTTGTCACTCTCTGTAAGTGGTCTAAGTGCCACTACATGAGACAGTGAACCACACTAGGGCTATGTCTACACTCACGGCTTCTTGCGCAAGTACGGCCATTCTTGCGCAAGAATCTGCAAAGCATCCACACTGCCCGCCCGCTCTTGTGCAAGGAAATTTACAGTACAGCGTGATAAGAGAGGGTTCCTTGTGCAAGAGTTACACCTGATAAAAAAAAAGAGTGTAAGCCCTCTTGCGCAGGAGCTCTTGCACAAGAGGGCAGTGTGGATGCTCGGCAAGAATTTCTTGCGCAAGAAAGCCCTATGGCTAAAATGGCCACCAGACCTTTCTTGCGCAAGAGAGCGTCCACACTGCCATGGGTGCTCTTGCACAAAAGCACAGCGCGGACATGGCAGTGTAGATGTCTTCTTGCACAAGAACCCTTAAGCAAGATGTTCTTGCGCAAGAAGCCGCCAGTGTAGACATAGCCTAGGTGTGAGGGTTACAAATGTAATAATGGGCTTGTGGATCAGTACAGAAACAGCATTCCATGTGCCAGAGACAGTATGGAAGAAAGTGTAGAGATGGCTGTGGGAGAGGATGACATAGGGTGGAGGGTGCTATTTTTGGCAGAGTGAAGGAGGCAAGGAAAAGATGTGGCAGAAACAGATTTGAAAGAGGAACAGACTTGTGAAAGGTATTTATTAGGACAAGAGTGATGAACTGAATGCAGTGAAATAGAGCGAGCCCTTGTAAGGCTTCAAATGGATTCAGAATTATGAACAAGAAAGATCATCTTAGAGTCTGGTTTTGTATGGTTATGAAGAGGCAACATAGCTGTTAGGGAGGCCTGAAAAGAGGATTTTACAGTAATCAAGATAGAAGGTGAAGGACTACATGAGAGTTTTGGCTCTATGTGTTTTAAGAGAAGAAGGAAGTATCTTAGAAATGTTGTGGAGAGAGCCTGAACGTGCAAGGAAAAGAGGGGAGAGTTGAAAGCAACCCTTCCCAGGATATGATCCTGAGTGGTGGCCTGACTGATAGAGGTTTCATCAGTGACTAAATCCTTTGTTTTTAGTGTTTTGGATTAGACTACATGTGGTCTCTGGTTTCTGAAATAGAACATTGCAGAAACAGAATTATATGAAAGTATAAAATAGCTGAACTCAGACATTCAGTATACCTTATCTTGTCTAAAATGGTGTCTCGGTGTCAACAAAGAAATGAATGTAAATAAACACATAGTGCAACAAGTACTGAAATACTTTTAATGTAAGATTCTGTTGGAAGAACCATTCGTTCAAATCTAGTGCTTTGTGAAAAAGTTACTTAGTTTCTTACCGGCCCATAGTTTCTAAGACTGAGTCCGTCAAATCATAGGTTGGCATCACAATGTCTTTCGATTCTGTGGATCCACACCATGAGAAGATGGGATGGAGGTTCTGAACAGATTTCTTTTTCTCTAAAGGCCAATCCCCTAAATTAACAAAAAACTCTATATCTGGCATTTTCACCTGAATGAAGAAAAATGATAGTGTTAGTGTATTGAATGTATGAATACAGAGAAGTATTTTTTGTCCCTTGATCAGTCTGATATCTGAAATTAGATACATAAGAGGAGAAGTCTACTGGAAAAGGTAGATTAAAAAAACTATATCAACAACTATAAAAACTATAGCAACTGATCATCACACTTCAGGAATGCTGTTTTCAGAAATCCATGTTTTAAATATCTTTATATCAGATCAGAAAACAAAACAGCATTATAACATAAACCAGTTTTCAAAAGGAATCACACAAATAATACTTGCCTAGATATAATAAAGCAGCCAAAATATGTATTCTAAAACAAAAGAACTCCATTTCAAGAGCTATTAAGGTTGCTAAGTGACAGCACTGTAGCTGTATAATGCCATTTACAAGATCTTAGAGGGGAAATTAAGGTCACAATTAATTTTACACCATCTACATAATAAGAAAGCCACATTAGCCTTGTTAAATAAAATATACCTATTTCATCATTGTACTGTCCTGCTAATTCTCACTAAAACTACAGTTCATCAATGAGCCCAACATATACATGAAAATATCTTCTGAAAAATGAACAACAGTTATCTGCATATATATTAATTACTCCTACTGACCAAGTCGCTACATACACATAATATGCAGTTATAAACACATAACGCCTCTCTGTAGCATGTGCACATGTGAAACTTTTCTCTTATTGTTCAGAACAGCAAGGTAATTATTTAATTGTTGGTCCTCTGCATTGCAATATGCCTTGATTCCTTTGCTGTCCAAGAATTAGAAACCTTAGGTTTCTGACTCAGGTTACATTCATAGACAGAGATAGAAACTAATCCTCTGCCAGCTATTAAGTAGGTTTTATATACACTCTCATATATGGTTCTCTCTATTTTAAAGTCATGGGGAAACCTTTAGCAAGTATTCCCTGGTAAGAACAAGCAGAAAGGCATGGAAGTTCCAGAAGCAAAAAAATAAGCCCAGTTCTATCTCCTATTTCCATGCAAACAGATATGATTCTATCTGGCTCTCATAAAACAAACAGTCTTCACTTTACAGAAAAGTTGGAAAGGCCTGTAATCTTCAGGAATATCCTTATGAACACAATGCCATCTACTGGTTCTTTTCGATAATTGTAATGAACAAGCTATGAACTATGTATTCTCAATGTTACAATTGATGAACAAGAAAAAAAATCTGTTATGTTGAAGGAGAAAGTTAGCCCCCAAATGACTCTGCTCTGAAAATGTATTACCCAATGGAAAAGTCATATAGAACTGAGCAGGGATTAAACAAATAGAAGTCTCTATACATTTAATTTTGACTATCGTTGGGGCCAAAGCACTTCCACTATAACCTGAAATGTCCTACGCATCTGCTTAAATTAGGGCACACTTCCCAGGCTGTCCTATGAACTGCAGTGAAGCTCAGTGCCCCATCCATGTCCCATATGCAAGGGCTTACCACGCAGTCCTCAAAGGATAGTGTGTAGTAGTGCTTTATGGTTTCTGCACTGGGGGACATCTTCCTCAGCCTCTCTTTGTCTCTGGCCTTTTTCCATTATGTATAGAATTTAATAGAGAATTACGTACATTTCCTAAGGTTTAAATCCATCCTACAACATGCATTAGCAGTGATACAATTCTCTATTAAATCCCATAAGATGGTTCACAAAGCCCATGGACATTTTTTTTATTAAATCCTATAAACATTTTGTCATAGGCCTAGCAGCCCAATTCATATTGGAGTCACAAGGTAAGTGACGTTACATCTTTTATTGGACCAACTTCTGCTTGTGTGTGAGAGAGAAGCTTTCAATCTTACACAGAGCTTCTCCTCAGGTCTGGGAAATGTACGTGTCACAGTAAATACAAGGTGGAAAATACATTTAGTATAAGTAGTTAACATATATTGTAAGATTCCATTCAAGGTCAAGTGATATCTTAACATCTCTGTAGTCATAGGACAAAAAAAAAAAGTCGTGGGAGGGGAAGAATTACTGGTTTATAGGTTGTTGTAGTAAGATGTTGATCCAGCATATTTAATAACTCCATGACTTTCAGTTTTTAACAAATTTAATTTAAGCTCCAAAGCTCATCTTGTGCAGGTTATTTTAGAGAATGAGGACTGAGAAGTCTGATATAGAGTGATCTTTTGGTGAATAGCGTTCACCTGCAGATTTCTCCAAGGAGAAAGTCCAGATTATATACCTTAACATACTCTGCATAAGCTTCAAAGCTTGCTTCTTTCAACAACAGAAGTTGGTCCAATAAAAGATATTTCACTCATCTTTTCTCTAATGTTTTAGGATCAGCACAGTTACAACATTGCAGATAATTAAAACTTGTATGTTACATTCTACAAATTAATCAAAGAGCATACCAGATCATCCAACTTCATAGGACAGTCCTGCTATCTTATTACTTCTTCATGTGAAAGTAATAAAAATTAGAACAAGAACAGTGGCGGGGTATTTTATTGTGGGGGAGTCAACAAAACCAGTAAGATTTCAGGGAATGTTTTATATTTAAACACCAACATGCACAATATATACTCACTTTTCTAGTCAAAGAAAGTAGTATGGCATCCATGAAAATCCTGAAGCCTACATGCTCACCATGGGTCTTTATATAAACCTAAAAATAATCCAAAAGTTATTGCATTGGTGTTTGTGCATGGGGAAAAATACAATATTGGAATTTTCCTATTTCACAGTAAAGAATAGATTGTATGCCTTCACCTTTATATAATTTCAAGACATTTTGGGAGGTCTTAGAAAGCCCTATCTCTCTTATGAAGCAAAAAAGGGTACACTTTTTTTGTCCTTTGTTGTTACTGCTGGAAATGATCCCCTGTAACAGAAACTCATTGTTTTCAAGCCTGATTCTACTGCACTCCTTTCCCAATGTATGTTCATGAGCGATATACAGAAAAGTGAGACAAAACCAAAATATTCTCTCTGGAAGATTTCAAAAACACTATTTTTAGGAATTCAAAACTTAAAACACACAGGGACCAAAACCAGAAAGAAGGCAGGCTGCTCTCTGAAGTAGATATGCTGTAGTTTGTCCCAGGCTGTTCTTTGACTGACTTTAAAAGATTGCAGGCTTTCCTAAAAAGCCCCTAGTTCAAGCAGAACTAGGAAACCCTTTTAAATTACTAACTTGTAATTCTAGCATAGTTTCCAATAATATCAAACACTTCTGAAGTTGTATAGTTTTGTTAGCAAGAGTTAAGGATTCTTAGACTACCACACCATACCAAACTGATGAATATTGAAAACTCTTGTAAAGCCCAGTATACAGGAAACTGAACTGGAAGTCAGGACACTTGGATCTACTCCCAACTCTACTACTCATCTGCTGTGAAACTATGGGGAAAGTCATTTGCCTCGCTCTAGTTCAACTGCCCCATCCATACCATCGACATAAAACTACTTACAAAGGAAGATGAATACCACTGAGTTCTACAGATGAAAAACAATATAGACAGAGTTAACTATTATAGTTGAGGGATAATAAAGCAAACAATGGAGGTGTGAGAGCTTTTCAAACAAAAGATCAAAAGAAGCCTTTATATTTGAAAGTTTTAACCAGCCTAAATATATGACTAACTAGAAGTCTCTCTTTAATAGTTCAGCTAAGTCACATACTGTACCTTGTTATCTTTTATGGTGTAGTGGCACAAGCTCTGTCTTAGTCCAAACCTTTGTGGAATTTCCTTTGCAATTTTATCTGGATCAACAGTAGGAAAATATGCTAGGTCTCTCTGAATCTGTGGAATGGCTTGCGGACAGCTCATATCTTCCAGCCATGCAGTGCTGTCTTGGCGAGGGCAGTCACAAAGCTCATGGTAAACAGGGCCTATTATTTTGATGTGCAACACAGACAAGACTTTAAATTCAGAAGTTACTTGGAATCACTGCCCCGTGTGGACACTCTGTTCCGCAATTAAAAAAAACTCTCACTTC